CACAGAACACACAGACAAATGCTCTATAATACGAAGGCCTCGAGAAGTCAAAACTATTACCCAGTAGACACCTTATGATCTATGAAAGGGAAGCACAACGTTAAACCCTAGAGAAAGAATTAAGGTTTTTCTTCTAAAGGCAGAACACCTTTGCCTGAGGGTTTACCTGCCAAACGCTAGATTTAAACATAGCAACCCCTCTATAACTACACTGTCATGTGCAGTAGCCACTACCCCTTGTGGCTTTTTACATTTAAATCAATTAGAAATTCAGTTCCTCAGTCACACTGGTTAGGTGCCATTGAGTCGATTTTCAAATCGCGGCCCCAAGTGATACAGCAGAGCTGCCCCATAGTTTTCTAGACTGTAATCTTTAGGGAAAGGAGCGCTGGTGGCGCAGTGGTTAAGGCACTTGGCTGTGAACCAAAAGGTCAGTGGTTCACACCCACCTGGTTCAAACCCACCAGCCACTCTGTGGAAGAAAGATGTGGCAGTCTGCTTCCATAAAGATTTACAGCCTTGGAAACCGTACAGGGCAGTTCTACTCTATCCTACAGGGTTGCTGTGATGGGCTTAATCTTCAGGGAAGCAGATCATCAGGTCTTTCTGTTGTGGAGCCACTGGGTGGGTCTGAACCAATCTTTTGGTTAGCAACCGAGCACTTGACATCATTTGCATGCTATCGGAGCTCCTACCAATACCTCTATAATATTAAATCTGAAAACTGCATTGTAATGAAATGTGATGAAGCACCTGTACTCTGCTATGTCATACAGAAGTATGCCCATCTGCAGTGTGGTACCATTTCTTCCTTCCCAAGTTAAGTTGGAAAAGTGTTAGTAACGTTGAGCATCTCTTCCAGTTTACACTGGTAACCAAGAAAACTCACGCTGTCCAACTGGCCAACTGAGAATGAAACTGGGAAATACTGATTAGCTTTGCGTATTCCTTCCTATTCCTTTTACATTAATGTGTTGGTGTGCTCTGTTTTCTGCATAGAGACGTGTGCTCTTAACCTAGTAGCTAGTAGCAGAGAAGGTGAGGACAGTTAAGAACAAAGATGGGTGATACAGGCAAACATCAACGGCAATAATGCACTTCAAAAGGGAGTAAATTCAATTCAGTGCAATGCCGACAAACTTAAGTGCCTACTGTATTCCAGGACACCCAGAAAAAAATGATTATCATGTCCACGTTTGAAGAGCTCGATGTAGTAGGGTGTCCAACGTGTAAACAAATGCAATATGATATGTTGTGATAAATGCAGAGAGACAACCATGCACAAACCATTAAGATGACACATGGAGGATAACATGCTTTCTAAGGGAGCATTTCCCGAAGACGGTACCTAAGAAGCAGAAGGGCAACGAAAGCAGAGGTGTGCATGGGAATCACAAGTGTTTGGTAAGGCAGGAGAAGAGAGCTTTGGTGGTAAGGGAACTGAGAGTGGAAAATGGAGGGAAGGAGATGGTGCTAGAGAGCAATGTACACACCAGACCAAGGACACACGTGTACATCAGGTTTGTGCCTTGGAAGGTCTGTAAACTTTCCTCACCAAAACAGCAAGTAACTTGAAAACCAATCCCCAAAACTTGATAAACTACCCCATCCATATCTGCCATACGGCTAACAATCTTTGATGGCAATCACTAACAGCAGTGTAAAGAAAATTACCTGTGACACTCTACCATTTAATAACATTCACTGGTCATAAAAACGTTGTAATTGGAATCCTTTGTTTTCAGGGAGAAACCTGTTTCTTATGAGTTTTATTTAAAATATCCTTAGAGAAAATACCAATGGATTTTCAAACAAACAGAGTGCCTCCACATCCAAAGGTTTCCATTAAGTTTATCTGACCAGGAAACAAATAAGGAGAGAAGAGGGACATACAAGTAGAGCTTCTGCTACTGCAGGCCAGTGTTGTTGGTTTTTTTTCTCCTCCAAAATTTTCATGACAGAACTTCTGCTACTCTGCATATCACACCGAACTTCTGGCTACAATCAGCCTGTGACCAGCAAAACTGTAGTGTCCAGCAACCTAAAGGACTTCTGTGATGGCTCTGGAAAATACTCCGAAAATATCTTCGTCTTTTGCCCTCTTCCTCTCATTTTACACGTACGTTCAATCCAAAAACAAAACAAAAAACTTCCCCGGAAGCTGTTCTCTTCGAACTACTGGGGTCCTCTCTTCTCTTCAGTTAACTCCTTGAAAAGTTATTAGCCTACAGGCCTTAAATAATTCACCAAGTGATTCCCCTCCCCTTAATACACGCAACACTTTCCAGATACAAGTCTTAACAGTATAAATACATGCATATAAATTTCCTGGCCCTTAGGCAAAGATATCTACACCTGTTTACACAAACATGTGGCCCTTATATAAAAGTATATTTTCAACGCAGCATAGGTCACGTTTAAAAGCATGGGTTCTGGGGTCTGGCTCCCTGAGTACTAGCTAGCCCGGGCTCCCTCGCTGATCAACTCTTAACTGCCTGCGCCTCAATTTCTCCGCCTATAGAACAGAGATAACGATACTTCGTAGAGCATATCCAAGTTTGCCTAGCCACAATGCCTGGCACGCAGCGACCCCACCTACCAACAGATCAATATCTATCAACTATTTTTACTATTCTGTCGCTAAATACGATTTCAAATCTGTCTAGTCGATCAAACGGATTACCTCTATTCAATTCTCACTTCTCATCGTGCGTCAATATCACCCACAGAGGTTTTCAAAAATACTGTGTCCGGGCCCTATCTAGATTTGTATTCAATCGGTCTGGGATTGGGCCGGCCATCAGCATGTCTTTCAGAGCTCTCCAGCTGATGAGAATGCGCAGCAGAAGGAAGAACACATAGGTATCTATATGCTCACATACAGGCGCTTGGTGAAGCACGGGGTCAGCGAAAAAGAGGAAGACCCTCAACCAGATGCATTGACAGTGACTGCAACGATCGGCTCAAGCACAACAATGATTGTGAGCATGGTGCAGGACCGGACAGTGTTTCGTTCTGTGGTACACTCACTGCATGGCTATCAAGGGGAACCGACTCGACGGCACCTAACAACAACAATTTGCCCACAGACGAACTACACCTGTGAGGTCCATTCCATCGCTGACCGAACTAGCAACGCCCGCCTAACAGCTGTGACGCCGAACTCAAAGTGCTGTAAGGTTTCCACCCGCACCCAACACTGCTCCCGTGTGATCAATTGCCGGGACCCTCAGCAGAACGCGCCGGCGGGCCGCAGTCGCGACCCACGCCCCGCACCCCTCCCCAGCAGCTTCGCAGCCCGGCCCCCCGACGCGTGCGTCACGGCGCCCTCGCCCCCGCCCGCCCACGGCACGTGACTCGACACGCG